GGGTCATATCTCCAGTTCGACTAAACTTCAGGCTCAACTCTCTGTTCTTGACGCCATCCTTGAAGGCGCAGACCGCTTGATGGTCTGACACATTCTCTACAGTATGATGCAAAGTGATCCATCTCTAGATGTAATCTCTCAATGTTTCACTCGAGTTTTGTACGCAAACTTGCAGCTCTGTCAATCCAGTCGGTCGCTTGCAAGTTCCCTCGAACGTCCTGACGAACACTCGGGAAAGATCTTCCCAGGTGTAAATGCTGCTAGGAGCTAACTGATTCAACCACGCCCTGGCCGAACCCTCTAGCATAAGTGGCAAATGCTTCATGGCCACCTCATCATTACCGCCACCAATTTGCACAACCACTCGGTAGTCTTCAAGCCAAGTTTCAGGCTTAGACTCTCCGGTGAACTTACTTACTCCAGTCGCCAACCTGAAGTTGGGGGGTATCACTGCGGCTCTGATGGCTCTGCTAAAGCATTCCGGACCTGAAACATGGACTCGGCTGCTTGTGGGCACATCTCTGTCATGGCCACCTCTGTGAGCTTTGTTCCGGTCGATCAAACCTTGCACGATGATGGATCTCGCGTCAAAGCCCGGCTCTCTGGGTCGACTGGAACTCTTCGCCCAACACTGAGCTGGCGCCTGTCATCTTGCTGCCGATGAGCGTTAGACCCACTTCTCGGGGGAGGAGAGGGCACTCGACGCCTGTCGTCACGATCAAATCGATCATCATAGTGGTCCCGCCGGCCTTCACGTCCTACGCGCCTCGGAGGCGACCTTGGGCTGTGAGCCGACTGAACAGTATTCGCAGCGACGGATCAACTGTGAATCCTGTTGCGCGACTGTGACACAACTGAATTCTGATCTTCTGCCGCCCGGAGCAAATCTCTAATCTGCATCAAGCCTCTTCCAGCCTCCGACTGAGAGGGCTGAATTGACTCCGCTATACGGGCTGCAGCTGCCAAATTCTGAATCGGGGTTCGATATACCTGAGTCGGTTGCGGAAAGAGCTGACGTCGGCTGGAGTCGGGTACTTGTAGACGCGCACGCTCGTCGAGTGCTCGCTGGAGGTTCTCCAGTCAAGTGCGTTCAGCCAAGTTGGCCAAACGCGCCTCTTCCAAGGCACGAGGCTCAGGAGTTTCTCCTGCGATGGGAGTATACAGGGCATCCATGTTCCGGCGGCGAAGATCTTCTCTTTGCTGAGAAGTGAGCGGCTCGGGCTGATATTCTTCGTGGGCCTGAGCGGGGTCGCCTCCATCGTCCATCCCGTCGATGCAGGGAAAACCGGGAGGGCTACGAGGCCCATTGACCATCAGGACCTCCGCCGCTGGATCACTGCTGTCGCACTCGGATGCAGTCTCTACGGAGCCAGTCGACAGATCGAACAGGCCGTAGAGAGATTCGTTGGGCTCAATCGCCGCGACTTGGGTGGTGGCCGATTGGCGAGCCACCGCGTGTCTCACCCATCGCTGAAGCCTCGACCGACCAGAGCGCTTGCGCTGGCGGGAGACAGGGAGGGAAGACGGCACAGGAGTCGACCGGTATGGGGTCGACGGCTGCCGCAGCAGGACGCCGCGGACACACGCCCGAAAGTGCGTCGCCCCGCGGACGGGGAGCGCGTCGATGTCGAATGGTGCCTCCTGGAGCCAAGCGGAGTCGTCGGCGATGAAAGCGAGCGCGCCGAGACGGATCTCGCGGCCCTCGACCAGAGCTCCGCCGGAAACCATGATGAAGGCAATCGGACAAATTGCAACTTCTCCAAAAAGTCGCTAAGACACCTGCCCCACGGTGGGCGCCAACTGTCGTGGTTCTAAGTCTGACAGTAGAATGGGGGGTAGGTATGGAGAGGCAAGATCCTAGCTATGGAATAGTTGTACACACGAGTGTTTAACGAGTTCAGGCCCTTCTCTAAGGAAGTAATAGCCCTACGTATCGGAGCCCGGAGGCGGTCAACTGGTTTATGTGTATATGAGTTACAGGGGTGCGAACCCTCTACACTGAGGAGGGGGGTGGCTTATATAGAGTTCGCCAGACCCCTCCGGCCCTCAGTTATGCAGGGTTTAAAGTACATTAAGATAGGGGGTTACTGGTAACACCCTCATAAAGTGCTATGAAGACTATTAAAGCTACTTAATGACAGACCATTGCGTGCTGAGTGACTTTAGGTCTCCTGGGCGTCGAGTGGTTAGCTTCATGGTCGAGTGGCTATCTTCGTCGTCGAGTGTCCTTGAGTTTGTCGAGTGAAGTCCCTCTTGGTCGACTGAAAGGTAGCTTCGTCTAAGGATGTCCTTTGGTATGGTATCCTAGATAGGTCCATGACCCTACCCTAGGTACATAACATCATCAACCGCCGTTGCCGCTGCCGCCTAGCAGGAGGTCACCAACGCCCGCGTCGCGGCGACAACGAGGGAGGCGCTATATATGCTAGGGTTAAATCCTAGCCAGCACGGCCTCGTCAACACCGCCGTGGCCGCGGCCAGCACCGGCTCATCCGCGTTCCCTTTGATGGTGCTGCCCGACTCGCCCCGTGCATCGGCTTGCACCCCGATGTCCGGCTTCCACGTCTACCCACAGACCTCCCGCCTCTCCGAGGAGTGCTCGCTCGAGGTGAGCATGGTGGCGCCTTCCAGGCCCGCGCCCACACCCATCGACCTCAACGCCACACCGGTGGGCGGTGGCTCGTCATCCAGAGGCGTGAGGAAACGCGCACGGCACATGCCAACCGACGTCCTGTCGGGCGCACGCAACCTGTTCGACGGAATGCCGGCCTCGGGTGACAACGACTACATGCATAACATCATCTTCGAGGGTGGTGCGCCGGCCGCTGGCGGTGCCGCTGGCGCTGGCTACGATCCTAACGAGATGCAAAGCCAGGACGGCCGAGGGGCGTTCACGCCGTCCACCTTTGATCAAGATCAGGCGACCTTCATGCATGATCAGGTCGGCCTGGACCTGGACGGCTTCCCACTTGAGCACGAGTTTCTAGAGGACTACGGGCAATAGGAAGAGGACGAGTGCGACTTCGAAGGGGAGCCTTTGTTCGAGGACGAGCTCGCCAATCAAGCCGCCGGGGCAAAGCCGAAGAGAAAGAGCAAGCAGACCAAGGCATACACGACGGCCGAGGACAAACTTCTTTGTGAGTGTTGGAGAGACATTGCGTAAGACCCCAAGACGGGCGCTGAACAAAAGGCATCAACCTTTTGGATTCGTGTCCACTGTGAGTTCCATGAGCGCGAGAAATTTCCGCCGTACCAAATACTCCCTCCGTCCCAAAATAAGTGTCTCAACTTTGTACTAGCGTTACTGTAAAATTGTACTAAAGTTAAGACACTTATTTTGAGACGGATGGAGTAGTAAGCACGTGCGGGTGGGTGTCCATTTCAAAGCGACGAAGGGTGATCCAACAAGAGTGCAACAAGTTTTGTGCCACTCTTGAGATCGTCAAGGCCCTCCCCGTAAGGGGCATCGACATGCAAGACATGGTATGCTAGCAAGCCGTCCTCTTTTGTGTCATTCCGTTTATACTTGCGTGTTCATTTGCATACTATTTGTCAACATGCTTGCATTAAATACATTTGTAGGCATTTCAAGCTTTGGAGGCATTCAAGGTCCAACACAATGGCAAGTGTTTCAACCTCTCCCATTGCTTTAGGGTCATTAAAGACGAGGAGAAGCTCAAGGCGCAATATGCCGCCCTCAAGTCGCGTGGGGAGAAGCAAGCCGTGAAGGAGGTTGGGGACGACGAGAAGGCACAGCCGCGGGGAGACCACCTCCAAGGAGGACAAGCGGGATGCGGCGTCGAACGCCATGATCGCAAGCGTGGAGGGTATGATGAGAAAGAAGGACTCAAGGGACGAGGAGCGCCGATACAAAGAAGAACACATAAACGCCTTCACGGAGATCGAAAGGAGGAGGCTTGAGATGGATGTGGAGAAGAAAGCCAAGATGCTTGAGATGGAGGCAGGGAAGCAAGCCAAGATGCTAGAGATCGAGGCCGACAACGCCAAGACCAAGGCGAAAGAAGTGGCTCTCGCGAGCATGATGACCGGGGTGAAGATCATGATGGTGGATCTCAACACCGTGTCGCCAAGGAAGAGGCCGTGGTTTGAGAAGATGCAAGCCGACATGCTCAAGTTCGACGATGAGTGATCTATGACGGCGAGCGCCATCCTTTTTCTGTATGCCGGCAGGTGTGCTGGCATGACCACGAGGCCACGATGACATGGTCGAACTCAAGTCCCACCTCTTTTTATGTGCTGACATGTGTGTCGGCCGCTGACGAGTGCGCTAGCATGAACTGTGTGGTGTTTTTTCTTAAGCTGGCATTGTATGCCGGCGCTAGCATGATGCCGGTATGAGTTTCGGACGACGACATGGCTACTGACATGATCTATGGCCGCGGGCCTTTTTATAAAATTACGTACATACATGAAATGGGTCGGCGTGTTGGGCACAATACTAACCCAAATCTAAAACAAAGCAAACGCGGTGCGTGCGGCCGACCCAAACGGACAAAAAAGGAAGTTGCTCTTAGACTGCAACAAGAATCGTGAATTGGAAAGAACAGGGTAGCGAAGATGAGTAATTGCCAAACCTGCACTGACAAAAACCGCACTACCTTATCGCTCAAACTGAATATCGAAAAGGTTAAGACTGCACCAAGCATCGAGAATTGGGAAGAACAGGGTACTAGGATCACATATGGTTTTACAGATGCAGTACTAAAAAATAACTGGATAGAGGAAACCGCACAAGTACTGCGGTTTCAGTAGACTCAAAAAGCAAAAACAAAGCACAGAAGACATCAAAAGACCCGACTAGTATTAACTCAGCACATATTTCTGTATGCCATACCAAAATACCAATCACTAGACGCCAATTCAGCGTGTCCACGGCGATGTTGAAACCCTGCTTCCTTCTAAAGAGAAGGAATTCAATTATCCAAGATACAACCACCAGCGGCAGCAGCAGGAATGATAGACTCCTTCATACCCACGTCTCAAGCAGAGGCCTTGTCAAACTTGAGGGGCTTCACAACCTCCCAGGTGAAGTCAGCATCCTCACGGCCAAAGTGGCCATAAGCAGCCGTCTTGATGAATCTGTTGCCACCCTTCTTCAAGTCAAGGTTGATGCTGATCATCCCAGGCCTGAAGTCAAAGTTCTCCTTCACAATCTTGAGGATCTCCTTATCGGGGATCTTGCCAGTACCATAAGAGTCAACGAAGACAGATAAGGGCTCAGGCACACCAATGGCGTAGGAGATCTGAACAATGCAGCGGCGTGCAAGACCGCTAGCAATGATGCTCTTGGCAGCCTGCCTGGCAATGTAGGCGCCACTGCGGTCAACCTTAGTTGGGTCCTTGCCGGAGAAAGCACCACCTCCGTGTGCTCCCCAGCCACCATAGGTGTCGATGATGATCTTGCGACCAGTAAGACCAGCATCACCATGAGGGCCACCAATGACAAAGCGGCCTGATGGATTCAAGTGGAATATGGTCTTCTCGTCCAGGTACTTCTCAGGGATCACCGGCTTGATGACATGCTCCTTGAGGTCCGCAGCAATCTCATCATTGGTGACAGTCTCATCATGCTGGGTGGAGATCAGAACAGTGTGCACACGTACAGGAACCATGGCACCTCCCTCGTTGAGGTATTCAACCGTGACCTGGGTTTTGCCATCAGGCCTTAGCCAGGCACAAGTGCCATTCTTGCGGACTTCAGTGAGGCGGGCACCCAGCTTGGTGGCAAGCACATGGCTGAGGGGCATGAGCTCAGGGGTCTCATCGGTGGCATAGCCAAACATGATACCCTGGTCACCAGCACCAATATCCTCAGGGCGCTTGGTGAAATGTCCGTGCACACCCTGGGCAATGTCAGGAGACTGCTGCTCTATGTTGACAAGCACCTTGCACCGGTCAGCATCAAGGCCAACATCATCAGAGATGAAGCCAATGTTGCGGCAGGTGTCACGCACAATCTTCTCATAGTCAACAGTGGCCTTGGTGGTGATCTCACCAAAAACCATGACCATGTTGGTCTTGGTGCATGTCTCACAGGCAACCTTGCTGTCAGCGTCTTGGGCGAGGCACGCGTCAAGCACAGCGTCGGAGACCTGGTCGCAGAGCTTGTCAGGGTGGCCCTCGTTCACAGACTCAGAGGTGAAGAGGAAAGTCTCGGTCGCCATTTCTTGCGCGGTGGTGGTGATACTCCAATCTACCTCTGCGAATGCAAAAACAAGTGGTGAATTAGATTTAGAACTCCACAGCAAATTTGTAGATGCCCACAAAATGCTAAATCTAAATGGAAGTATTTGTTTCTTCACAGCAGAACTTTCGATAGTAGCAATTGATTATTTATACGCTTACATCAGTCGAAGTGAAAGCTACCTGATTACGCTCAATTAAAGAGATATATCAGCGAAAATTACAATTGGTCTACTCGATGAAGAGATTCAAAAATGAATAAAAACATAGCCGAGATCTATAAGCCCATCGCATGACCGACAAGTAATCTACACACTAAAAAAGGCGGATCTTTTGTGCAGGCAACTAGATCCATACGATATATTATTATTTGTTTAAAAAAAGAGACATGAGAAAAGAACAAAAAGATCCAATTGTCCACTCCCCTGATGAACTCTGACGTCCCCGAATTTCTAACCGGCCGTAGAATCTCATGAAACTAACAAAAGCAAGACTATTCCCAGTTTATCCATTGATAGGCGAGAACCGCAACAAAGATACAAAACGGAACGCCGTGAAACCAGATCTACGCCGAAAATCACCATTACCCCTCTTTTCAGCCACCCTCCTGCCTCTTCCCGCACAAAGCAAGAGATCTCAAATCCTATACGTGCAGATCCAGCAGAAGAGAGGGCAAGAGAGAGAGAGACGCGCAGTAATTGGGTAGGGTGGGAAGGGCTCACCTTGCGCTGCCGCTGCTGCCGCCGCCGCGTTTGATCGGGAAGTAGAGAGGGATGAAGCGGTTACGGGGGTATGCACGTAGTTTTTATAGCAGCAGATGCGTCGGGTGCGGATCGGGGAGGAGGATGGTTGGAGAGGATGGGCCCGTGCGGGTGTGCGAGGTGGTGCGTGCGAAAAGTATTTCGGCGAGCGTGGTAGGGAGAATGCACGTGAGGACCGCATAGCCAGTGAGTGCTGTGTCGCTGACCGGCTCGACCTTCCCCACCCGCGCTGTCCTCCTCCTCACCAACCCCGTTGCCAACAACCCCACGTTGTGGCCCCGCCTCACCAAACATCTGAAAGAAAACCTTCTTTACTTTGCCGATTTGTGTTGTGTGATGTGATGCGAGGGTTAGTTTTTTTTTTAAGATTCATTAATAATACTTCCTCCGTATCTAGAAAAATCTATAACAAGAATTTTGGGACGGAGAAAATAGTAGGAAGCAGCAGAAAATAATAAGGTGATGAAGGTCCTAGAACTAGAGGATCTGAAGGTCAAGGAAAAAAGAAAAGAAAAACAACAACCCTAATAGCTGCAGCACAACACTCCATACAATCCGTATTAGGCAGCGCAACTCCGACTCCGACGATGAACTACCAAGGAAACTAGGCCGGGGTGGCGTCACGGGGATCACCGAAC